AGAGAGGAGGAAGGAGGAGGAAGGAGGTAAGAAAGGAGGAAGAGCGGTGCCCATCCTCACTGTCTGGCCCTGAGGGGGGAGGGAGGAGGGAGGAAGGGTTAATCTCACTCGGTGGGAGGGAAGGGAGGAGGGAGGAGGGGGGAAGGAGGTGGAAGGGAGATGGTTGAGGAGAGGGAGGGAAGGAGAGAGGGAAGGAGGAGAAAGGAAAGGAGAGGAGGAGGAGGAGGGGAAGAGAGAGAAAGAAAGAGAAAGGAAAGTATGGATAGATAGTAAAAAAAATATGGGTAAACTGGAAGGAAGAAAGAGAGGAGATGGAGGGAAAGGAGGAGAGAAAGGAAGTTGGAAGGGAAGTTATGGATATTTAGGTTAGAATGAATAGGGTTAGAGGAAAGAGGAAAGTAAGGAGAGAGGGAGGAAAAAGAGGAGAAAGAAAGGAGGAGGAGGGAGAAGGGAGAGAGAGAGGAGAGGGAGAAGAAAAGAGACAGACAGACAGACAGATTGACGGAGAGAGAGAAGAGAGAGAGAGAGAGAGAGAGAGAAGAGAAAAGAAAGGAAGAGAAAGAGAAAGAGAAAGAGAAAGAGAAGAGAAAGAGAAAGAGAAGAGAAAGAGAAAGAGAAGAGAGAAGAGAGAGAGAGAGAGAGAGAGAGAGAGAGAGAGAGAGAGAGAGAGAAGAGAGATAGAGATAGAGATAGAGATAGAGAAGAGAAGAGGATAGAGAAAGAGATAGGAGAAGAGAGAGAGAAACCAGAGACAGAAAATGAATCCCTACCCTAACGGCATCAAATGATATTAGGAATTAAAATTTGCTCATCCTACTACTACTAGTTATTTCCTGTGCTCACCTACAGATAATCCTAACCTGCGCAGTAAAGTACATAGTAACTGTGCCTCGGAAGGTGCTGACGTTTGCCCATACAAAAAAGGTTCCTAATCTCGTTAGGGGAATAAGCAAAAACGGTAACAATGACGTATAGAAAGAGAGAAAACAAAAAAAAAAAAACATTAACAATTCCCTACTGACAGTTTCTTCAAAAGTTTGTTAGTGATCTGACTTCCTCCTATTGTGAATTGTGAACTGACTTCCTCCTATCACGCTTACAGCCTCCAGCGGTCTACCGGAAGGGAAAAAAAATCTACAGGAATGAAAATCCTGATCGGACTCTGGGTCGCGATTCGTCTTCCAGCGCCTCTAAAATACGCTGTTAAGCAGATGAGCAATCGGGCCTGAAGACGCTGTCCATCATAACATTCTACTACTTTAATTGTAATAAAATACTTTGTTTCCTTCTGCAAACCCGGTTTAGTATGCATAAAACATACAAAGCTGCAAAACTACTCTGCAGTTTATCGATGCACTGTTACAGGTTACAGGAAAGAGACGATAAGTACGCATAAATAGAGTAAATAGCAGGATCCGACCCACCTTCTTGGGCGACGACAGCAAGGATTCGTCGCTCCCGAACTCGCGCGACAGCTCCGCTCTGCCGCCTGCGATTCCGCCCGCGCCGCCCGCGCCGCTACTGCCGACGCTCCCGCTCTCGATGTTGCTCTTCGACCTTTGGTGGAACACGCGGTGCGGAGACGCCTTCTTCTCCGCGCTGGCGTCGCCGTCGGGCGTGGCGTCCGCTGGCTTCTCGTCCAGCTTCTGCTCCTGCTGGCTCTGCTGCTTCTGACGCTCCCTCTGCTTCCACTGCTGCTCGTTCTCGAGGTTCTCCAGGGAAAACACCTCGTCGGACTCGTCTCCGCCGCCGCGCCACAGGATCTCCGACAGGAAGTTGGCCCGGGACAGGCCCTCCGAGGACTTGGCCGCTACGCCCGTATCCCCGCCAGGCCAAGAGGGCGGGCCAGGGGCTCGTTCGGACTCTCCCCGAACGCCCTCGCCTTGCGCTCCGCCCTCGCCCAATCTGCCGCCGACGCCAGGGATCTCGTCGGCCGTGCCCGCCGAGGAGAGGCTGGTCCTGGCGGTGGTCGTGGCCGAGGACGCGCTGCTGGGGGCGCGCGCGTGCAGGGCCGACAGCAGCTCAGCGGGAGGGGCGGCGCCCTGAGCTCCTGCAACAGCCGCGTTAACCAGGTGGAGGCCCACGGGAGGGGGCAGGTCCACCGGCGTCGCCGACGTCTCACGATGGAAGCTCTTGTGCACCGTGGCCAGGTAGAACACGTGGCGGCTCCTGCGGAATCACACTCGCCGTCACTACCATAATGCCCTCTCGCCCCCTCGCCCCCCTCGTCGCCACGACGCCAACACCGTCTTTGGCGCGTCACATACCTCGCCCTCAAAAGACACGTTCACAAAACCCTCACCCACGACCAAGACCAAATCGAGATTACGTCACACCCAAATCCCTTCTCAAAAGTCCCGTCACATAATTCCACCCCGTCACACTGCCACCGGTTACTCTGTCCCGCCTCCGTCACACAGTTTCCCCATCATCACACTGCTCCTCCTCCGTCACTGTGTTCCTCCTCCGTCACACAGTACCTTCGCACGCGAGTCCCAGA